TTCATTACATTATTATCGTTTACAAGCTCAAGTCACAGGTCGTTCCGGGATCTGTAAAATCGGTCAGTGCTGAACAACAAGTTTTAAAAGAGAGAGAAATGTGTTGAAGATATCTATTGCTATTGTGTTCATGTTTGCAATCCGCTATCTGCCAAACAAAGTTTAAAAAGAGGCTAATCTAAAGTTGAATCTAAAATTTATGTAATATAGCTCAATTTTGATCATGTACATAAAACTGCAAAGCGCGCATGACGCAAAAACTATTTAAAATACACGTAAGCTAGTAAACAAATGTAAATAGAAGCTACCAGGCCAGACTTGGAGAAGATTTTCGCCTTTGTGATCGTGTTTTCACCTCGTGGAAACACTTTCCTTTCACCTAATTTTTCAATTGTGGATTAAGGGGGAGGGGGTGTGAGAAAATCTGCTCCTTCTCCCTTCCCCAGTCAGACCTGTGAACTTTTTTGTTACTTTGTCCTAAACCAAAATTCTTTCCGGCAACGACAAGGAGGGGGTGGGTCTGAGGAAGTCTGCAATTTGCCCTCCCCCCTTCCCCCATTACACCAGTGAGCTTTTCTGTTACTTGTTCTACACCACAGTTCCTTCCGGCAACGACAGGATCGCGCTTGCTTCACCTGGCTTTGTTCGATCGACTTCAGCAGCTGTGTAATTCTGTTCAGCAAAGAACATATCAAATTTTCTGAAAATTTCCTACCAATCTTCACAAGAAAGCCGGACAAGATGCCAAATCGCGAAAATTCAAATCGTTCGTGCCTTTTTAGAACCGAAAACATGTAACTAAAATCCTCTTTTCAGTTTTCACAATAACTAGATGCTCGAGGAGCGTTCACTCGAGCTTCGTATCGAGCGTTTTATTTCAACATTCACCAGACGTAAAATTTAAACGAAACTACATAGCCATGGCATTCACATAGAACACGAGCACAATTGTAATATGGAGGTGAATAAAGGCTGATAGGTGAATAAAGGCTGATAGGTGAATAAAGGCTGATAGTTTCTAAAGAAACTGTTAGGGGCTGCGTCAGTGGGGGTAACGAAATAATTTGGATATATCAACAAAGTTGAAATGGTAAATTGGCCACCGTAACGATTACAAAAGCTGACGTTTCCAGCGTTAGCCCTTCGTCGGAGCGAAAGGGCTCGACACAGGGCTCGACACTAACTTTTCAACTTACCAGCCAAGTGGCTAGTGAAATCTTAGATAGTAAGACAATTTCAGTTTGTTTACTAGCTAAACTGACTAGTGAAAATCGAAAACCACTAGCCAAAACCGAATTTCTACTAGTTTGTGGCAAGTGGGCTACTGTTAGTGTCAAGCCCTGTGCCCTGTATAATATAGTTTTACATACTTTGCGCGCATAACGAGATCTGAATTGTTGTACTTTTATTGATCGTGACACTGTAACATCATTATGTTCT